TTTAATTAATATGCATCTATGTCCTTAATTTAATCAAAATTATTCTTTCAATCACTATATCAGTGTATTTCTATTAATAGGACTTATCATACTGGTGTATAAGATTACAGCCTCACAGTTACACAGATTAAAATTGTTTTATTTTCCAATTACATGAAGGAAACAAACAAATTTCAGAAGGAAACAAACAAATTTCACCCTTATACAGGTAATCGGAAAATAAAACAATTTTAATCTGTGTAACTGTGAGGCTGTAATCTTATACACCAGTATGATAAGTCCTATTAATAGAAATACACTGATATAGTGATTAAAAAAATAATTTTGATTAAATTAAGGACATAGATGCATATTAATTTAAGGTGATTGTTTGTTTCTGTTTCTATAATCATAAAATCTTTGGAAAAAGTTCATTTTTGATAGAATTCTCTCCAGAAGAAATTAAAAATTATTTATTTTACTTTATTTATTCATCAATTACAAGAATTGGCCTAACTATTACAGTCTGTCAGATCTTTATCTTGTAAGTAAGCTAGGCTTTAGTTGAATAAGTGAAATTATTATTAATATTTTTCATACTTAATACAGTTTAGGCAGTTTAATCTCAAGTATTCCATTCTTTCCATTTCACTTACAACATAAATACAATTAACTGAAAATCTGCATTATCCAACTGTAAGTGAAAAGGCTTCTTATAATCCATAAAAGATTTGCCTTAAATGCATAGTGTATAAACACTATATAGTACTTTTAATCTTGACTATTCTGAGAAAGTGGCTGATGCTGATGTGACTCAGAATATTGCAGCAAGAGAAGGAAGAACCATTATAATACAAGGTTGAACTGAAAGTTCATTTAAGTATTTACATAATCACTCATTTGTGTTGCTTCTGTTGCGCTGATCAAGTTTTAACTTATTTAGGTGGGCATTAAAAATATTTATATATTTAATAAGTAAGTTTAGTTAGTTATTTTTTAACATTCCATTATTTTTTTTAAAAAAATTAAAATAGAAGATAAGAAGGTGAATTTCTACATATCATGCTCTATTACCAAACAGGAAAAAATGTGACAAAAACTCAAAAACAATGTGCTGTATATAGGGAGAATGCCGTTACTGATCAAACATACCAGAAATGGTTTTCAAAATTTAGGGCAGGAGATTTTTCTCTTGAAGATGCACCTTGGTCAGGATGGCCCTCAACCAGAGAAGATGAATCCATAACAGCTTTAATCCAAAATGATCAACATAGAACAACATGAGAAATAGATAATACCTTAAAAATATCCCAAACATCTGTTGTCACACATTTGGCTTATATTGTATACACTTCCCATTATAATGTTTGGGTTCCCCATCAGTTAAGTGAACAAAACCTTATTGAGCATTGTTTCTGTTTGTGATTCACTTTTAAAACGCAATGATTACNATTTCACCCTTATACAGGTAATCGGAAAATAAAACAATTTTAATCTGTGTAACTGTGAGGCTGTAATCTTATACACCAGTATGATAAGTCCTATTAATAGAAATACACTGATATAGTGATTAAAAAAATAATTTTGATTAAATTAAGGACATAGATGCATATTAATTTAAGGTGATTGTTTGTTTCTGTTTCTATAATCATAAAATCTTTGGAAAAAGTTCATTTTTGATAGAATTCTCTCCAGAAGAAATTAAAAATTATTTATTTTACTTTATTTATTCATCAATTACAAGAATTGGCCTAACTATTACAGTCTGTCAGATCTTTATCTTGTAAGTAAGCTAGGCTTTAGTTGAATAAGTGAAATTATTATTAATATTTTTCATACTTAATACAGTTTAGGCAGTTTAATCTCAAGTATTCCATTCTTTCCATTTCACTTACAACATAAATACAATTAACTGAAAATCTGCATTATCCAACTGTAAGTGAAAAGGCTTCTTATAATCCATAAAAGATTTGCCTTAAATGCATAGTGTATAAACACTATGTAGTACTTTTAATCTTGACTATTCTGAGAAAGTGGCTGATGCTGATGTGACTCAGAATATTGCAGCAAGAGAAGGAAGAACCATTATAATACAAGGTTGAACTGAAAGTTCATTTAAGTATTTACA